GAATGAGTCTCGTGAGGTTTATCTTTATTCATATGGGAAACTGGACCATATTGATGCATACATCTCCAGAGCCAATATTGGTTACAAATTGTGGAAATACTATCATGCGACAATCAATCATGCAAAGGTGTTGGCAATTGCTACAGCGTACGATATCTACAAGGAGTGTACTGATGGAAGCCTTGGTGATGAGTGGAAGCTGAGCAACGTCGTGAGCTATCGCGAATTCCGTCAAAGACTTGCTTTGCAAATGATTAAGTATGATCCTGTTGAGCAGGCTTATAACTGCGATACTAGATTGAGGCAGTGTATAAAAGCAACACAAAGGGTAAGATTTGGTATGGCAACTAGAAGAAAAGCATGCAAGTCTTTCCTTTGTAATGGAAAGTTGCTTTCATATCACAATTTACAGACCATTGGTGAGTACAAGGCAAAGGGACGATTTTGCTTCACTCAGACTCAGTATGCAAACCATATGAAGGCAGTTAGGCCTACCAAGTCAAGAAACAGAAATGTCTGCTACATGTGTGGTGCAAACACTTATAGTATGTGTCACATCTGCAGAGTTCCACTTTGTACTAGCCATTCAAAGAAGAGGAAATCTAATGGAGATCCAATCCGAAAGTTTTGTCAAAGCAACTATCACAACTATGAATGGTTTGGTCTTGGCAGGACTGACTACTGCTCTAGAGTAAGAAATGACAAGAAACTGAGAGATAGGAATCAGTGGAAGCCTCCAATCAGTGATGAGTTGAAAGACGACACTGAGTACATGAAATACTTATTGGACATCAAGGATGATGAGGAGGACACTGTCTTTGGTGATGGTGATGGTGTTGTTGTTTCGCCAAGCAACTAAACTCCTCCAAATCAGTAAACTCCTTCGGTTGCTTCCTACATAAGAACTAAACTCCTCCATATCAGCAAACTCCTCTGTATCTAAATATGAATAGTACACTCATTCAGTTCTTGCTAATTCAGTTGCTGATTCGGTTGCTGATTTGGTTGCTTATTCCTTGGTTACTTATTTGGTTGCTGATTTGGTTGCTGGTTCTCCCAATCCTCCTCCTCCTCCTGCTGGTTCTCACTATTCATATCCTCATAGTCAGCTGAATCAAAGGATAAGCTTCTTCTTTGATCATACATAGGATGTCCCCACTCATCAAAGGCGAATTCTTTTGCACACTGAATACAGGGGGTTACATTCTTTTCCCTCTTCATTACAGACCTATATATCTTGAAGAACCATTCATGTTTATCCCCAACACTCATTGTCTGAGGCAAGAGAGGCTTTGCAAATCTAGCGAGCTCTATTGCCTTTGCCAGATCTTTCTTCTTTAGACAGGTCTTCTTTAAACAACCAGCACAGGTGTCATTCAGCTCTTTGTTGTATGGTGTTGGCTTTTGGTCCCATTCCCATTCCTCCACCCACTTCCAGTCTTGATTCATTACAAACTGTACTTTCAGGGACGGATTGTCGATTATCTCTGGTGGAGGGGGCTCAGGAGCTTCAGGGGGATCAACTGAGGTATCCATGACTATTTGAATCTTCCATCCAATCCCTGGATTGATGTCCTTAATCAACTGTGCTGCTTCCCTTGCCTTCGATGCTGGGTGCCACTTCATCTCCATGTTACCCTTCACGATTGCAAGCTTCCGACGTGGCATCCAGTGCTTGTAAGCACACGCTTTGGGTCCTTTGTAAACAAGCATCCGGTCTTGGTGCTGGGCCTTCTTTGTTCTTGCTCTCCTCTTTGTTAACTTCACTCTATGCTTTGGATGAAGACAGCCAAACAAGACAGCTCCAATGCGTCGTGGAGGGACTGAGTCTGGAGAGCTCTCGGCATACCGATATACATCCTTATGGAGGTCTTCCACAAGGAAGTCAGGTGTTTTTAGTGTTGGTTGCTCATCTTGCTTGTTTTGCTTATTATGCAGTTTTTGCTTGCTGTTTGCAGTATCCTCCATACTTAGCAGGGGTACCCTCTGTCACAGGGTGTATTGTTCTCAATCAATTTTAAGAGAAAGAAATGGGATCCATACACCGTGTTAAAAGCATGGGGAAATGCATCCCTCACAGTTCCTTCTGATAAACTGGAAACAGAACAATTGTATCAAGGAGTGGAATTGCCAAGATATGAGTTCACACAATTAGTGGCCAAATTTAGTGAGCAATTTTGTCTGTTGGTGAGCCAAGTGTCCGTTGTGGGACTCAAATCCGTTGAGTCAAAGTAGTCTTTACACAATAATTAGATGGCAGCTAATCCACGCACACGTATAATTTAACCGTATAACTGTTTTAGTCTTGAACCGACAGTTTGGGCAATAACTTTTTCCAACGGACGCTTAAGTATGATAAGCACATGGTTGAAAAGAGAATTCAAAGAGCTTTCTAATGACGTGGGGGAGTATGGCGTACGACGAATATTGACTGATATTCATTTACGTACATCTTGAATTGCTAATGTATGGTTATAACCGTGCTTTTTTGCTTGGCCCACGATACGATAATTAGGCTACACTAACTGCTTATTGCATACACGTGATTTCTACACTGTTGGAGGGTTTCTCGCTGTTGGAGCCAAATGGCACTGCGGTGCTGGTGCGGCAAACCTCATAGGCTGACAGGATGCGGAGGCCTTTGCAGTGTTCATACTGGCATGGTTGGCTACTCTGGTGCCATGTTGGAAAGAACTTGCTGCTGAGTTTCTGCTGCGTGAAGATGTGGGTGTTGGTGTTGGAGCAGCCCGGGTGCATGAGGTAGTACTTGATCATGTCACCAATGTGGTACCTGTGTTGCATTGGGTGGTTGGTGTTGATCCCCTTGTAGTGGCATCTGGCAACAACAAGGAGGTGGCAGGGGGCATAGTGCATTGCCACTGTGGTGTGATGGTAGATGTTTTGGGGGGTTGTTGACAAGGTGATGTTGATGGTGTTTCATGCAAGCTCAAGGATGACAGGGTTGGTGAGGCAGTTTGCCGCTTCCGGGGAGAGGTTGCCTTGCCAGTTGTAGTAGTTGGGGACAAGGAAATGCCTAATTTGGTATGTGGGGAAGGGACAGAGCTCAAATTTGTTATTCCAGGTTGCAGGGAAGTCTGGGGATTTGGAGGCAAGTGGGTTTTGTTGGTGATTGAAGTGGTAGGTGGTGGTCCTTTCCACAAGGAAGAGGTCTTTGGTGCATCTGGCTGTGTTACCAATGCACCACAAGACCAGGGCCATGCACTTGTACCATGGGTGGGTATAGTTGCTGAGGACTGTGAGGTCACGACGGACCAGGTTATCGAAGTAGCCAAAGCAGTGGGTCCTAGGCGCAGATTGGTTCCGTGTTGCCTTTAGACTCGCAATGGATGTCATCCACCGCAGTTGGGTAACCTAGGTAGAGGCCTGACCTGACGAGTTGGTGGTCAGGGCTCACATTGGGGCTGAGGCTTGGGTCTTTGTTCTGGGGAGGGCTGGCAGGGGCTTGGTTGTTTGGTTGGCAGTGGGGTGTGCTAGTGGCAGCGTTTGCCGGCACAGCAAAGGCAATGTCATTGTCTTCAGTGCCAAAGCTGAATTTGACAAAGTCCATTGCGTTTGTGGCTGTGTTTGCGTTGGGTTTGTCATTAGCATGGGGTGGGTGTCGGTGGCATGGGTAGTGGGTTGGGCATTGGTGCCATTTACCGCCAATGGTGCTGGTGGCCTGGGGGGGGTTGACATTTTTGTCGTCACTTGCGCCATTGCTGTTGTTGCTGCTGCTGTGCTGAGAAAGATCAACAAGGCCGTGGAAAACCCTGCAGTTGGGTTGGCTGGGGCATTAGCATGTGTGGCAGAGCCAGTGGACGGGGCAGCGTCAGGGCGGGGTCGGGGGCGTGTTGGCAGGGAGGCAGCATTTGTGGCTGAGCCGGCTGACGGGGCAGCGTCAGGGAAGGGTCAAGGACATGGGTCTTGTGGGCCAGGATGTTGCAGAGTTTGGGGAGGAGGTAGTCACGGAGTTCTGTTGAGATGGTGCCTACTCTGTTAAGGATGGCAAGGTTGAGTTCAATGGCATCATAAACGCACGTCAGCAATCCTGTGATATCGATTTCTCAGAGGATGGCGGCTGTGTTGACTGTGTGGGGCCTGATGTTATCCGGGGCGTTGCGGAGGGCCACAGCAATGGCGGCTTGGCAGATGCTGTGGGGGTTGGGTTGGAACATGGTGTTATGGTGGGGATGTGGGGCCCGTGAAGGCTTGGGCTGGTTGGGAACTGCTGTCCTGGCTTGGGAAAGTGAGCTGTGGGTGTTTGGACAGGGGTGTGACGGCGTTATGCAGTGTATTGTGGGTTGTGGTTTCTGAAACCTCAGATAAGGGTTGACAATGCATGCCTGGCAAGGTGGGGTTTTGTAAGGTCTGGCTGTCATGGTTTGGGTGTCTTGGTTTGTGAGATGGCGAAGTGGGTTAGCCTTGGCGTGGACGGCGTAGAAGTGAGGGCGGGGGGTTCTTCTTTTTGGATGATGTTGGCAGGGAGTCTTGGTTGGTGGTAATGAGAATATTATGATATGGGACCGCAGTAGCCATGTGGGTGGAGACACTGTGGGAGAAATGTGCAAGTTGTTCCTGGAGATAGAGGAGTGTTAAAATCACTCGAGACTTGGTTGAGTCACTTGTACGGAAGATTGAATTGTACAGACAATTGACCAATACAACTACAACCCATCCAATTAAACCACAATACAGATGAATCATACATACAAATGAATCAAGGTTGAATCATATCTTTGGATTGAATTGTATGATATGAGTGAATCGTACAATCGACTCATACAAGTTACTGATCTTTCCTATCGCTGAATTGATGAAATACAGCAAACAGCAAAACAGCTGTCTGGTCACACTTCTTGCAACGGATACATATGTGCTGTATTGGAAGTATACGTACGTACTGTAATGCAAGCATCCGTACATACGATGCTCCCTTGGAATGGATGGACATACTATTCCTACCTAAAATTCATAAGGTACTATTTGTATATACATATTATACAATCTGTCTGTTTTGAGGGGCCCCGGGAATCCATTCAGCCATTCAGCAGTCATTTTATAAAACTAGCTCAGTAGAACCTGGTACATGATGTACGAGCAAAAGTTCATAACTTCAAATTGAAGTTCAGAACTTGAAATTATTACTTTTTGCTCTCTTTCGAGGCCGATTTCAATTGTTATGAAACGCGTAGTACGGTATGAACAAGATGAGGACACATGAAAAAAAATTCGAGAACTACGATTCAAACAAGGAAAACAATTTCGTTCCCAACATGGCCGACGAGGATAGCAAGGAGCAACAGCATGTTTACGTGAAACTTGTAAGCGCTGAGGGCCATGAAACATTTGTTGACCGAGCGATTGCGATGGGGGCCAGCGCCACCATCCGCACCATGCTGGAAGGACAATTCCGCGAGGCGCAGGACAACGTTATCCGCTTTCCAAACATTACCACAGCAATCCTAGAACAGGTTGTCCGATATATGCAATTTAAAGCCAAATACACCAACTCTTCTTCTCGGATTCCAGAATTCACCATCGAACCGGAATACGCTCTCGAACTTTTGATCGCATCCAAATATCTTGATTGTTGATTTTGCAACCTCGTTAAGTGTCCAGCAACAGCGAAGAAAGAAGGATAGGAATTGGATTAGATGCATCTAAAGACACAAAGATTTATGAAATGATGAAAACTTGTATGTCAACATTGCTATTATAATATTTAACTGCTATGGTATTTCTAATTCTACTCGTTCACGACATGGGTGCTTTTCTTTCAGAGGGAAGAAAACGATTTTCAAGAAAAGAGTGTTGATAACGAATCACGGCTGTCTTCATTCAAAATGTGCTTCACGCTTTAGTATTCAATCTTCACATATTGCGTGCTGGAATTTTTTTTGATAGGGCTTTCATGCTGATTGCTATGCGTACGATCATTGACTGTTACGAAAAAATATTGTACCTGCTCTAAAAGTCTCTGTTGCTGTTTTCTATCCTCTATGTTCTAAATTCATTGACTCATTGAGCTTCCGAAACTAAGTTGTTAAACACTTTCTGGATTTTATTTCGTTGGTCCTTGCACAATATTTATAAATTCATCATGGATTGTTGGTGCTCCATTAGTTTTTTTTCGTACCAGGGCCGTCGTAGTCGCCTTAAGCCCTTCGATTCTTGCGACCGAACCCATGCGGGGGGTTTCTTAAGCTTTGCTGCCGTTGCCGTAACGGTCCTTGTCAGTCCGTCTTCCAGGCCGTAGCGAAGTTTGATCACTGTTCGTTCCCCCTCGTTGAGATTGTCAAGCATTTCATCTAGATCCTTGTGGAACAGCGACCGATCGACGCTCTTTTCAGGAGACACATTCTCATTGTCGAGGTTGTTGTCGAAATCGTTCTGCGAGGAAATCATGTCACCTATAGAGTCATCACCCTCGTGACCGTGATCCTTGGGATTTTGCTGGTACTGCGGTGTCTCGAGTGAAATCGACCGTTTTGTGAGCTTTATCATGCGCTTGTACTTTGAGGGCGGCATGTCGAGAGCGTCCGCCATTTCTTCGTCGGTGGGTGGTCTTCCCATGCCCTGTTGTAGACTGCTTCGTACTTTTCGAACCCTGTTCATCATGTTGTGGATGTGAACGGGAAGCCGAATGGTACGCGAGTGGTAAGCAATGGATCGAAAAACTGCTTGCTGAATCCACCTTAAGTTTTTGAAACACAGCGATTTAACTAGTTAGCGCACGATTACGTGAACGCAACAAAAACAAACAAAAAGGGATATAATGGATCAAAATCTACCCAACCGAATATTTCGACTCGAACGTACCACGAGGCATAGGTCGAAAACTTGAACCCCTTGCTGGGATCAAATTTTTCTGCGGCGCGAGACAGTCCCAGGCTTCCTTCCTGGACCAAATCCTGTAGGCTGACTCCTACTTTGGAATACTTCTTGGCAATCGAAATGACAAGCCGCATGTTGGATTGGATCATGAGCTGCTTCGCCCGGCGGCCTCCAATCATCATCTCACAGAAGTCTTCGACGGTTCCCCTGTTTACCGGTTTCGCACTTAAACCCCCCAGTTTTTTGCCCGTTTTGCGGTCTAACTTGTACACGTTCTTCGTGATGCTACAGGGCGGGGGCTTCTTCGCCCTTCCGCGGCCTCTTCCGACACCAACATTTTGGGCCAATCCATTGCCGACAAACATGTTCGGATCGATCTTTGTGAAGATGTTCGCGTATCCCGCCGGACGTATCTGCCTCTCAACGAGTTCGGTCACAACATGATCGCTGCTTTGTTTATGGTTACCTGCGGCTCCGACGTGTGGGTCTTGCAGAGCATTTCCCTCTTGGTATCCGCAGGCATGGGCCCACTCTGCGATAGAGGGAAGCCGCATTTCCTTAATGCAAAGGCCTTCATGGACCTGCTCACACTGGACCATTAGCTGAATCTTTTCTCCTATTGTGTATTCTTGTTCCGGCGTCAATAGCTCCGTGGCGTAGTATTTTCTCAGCTCGAGGTTGTTGTCTCCGGCGTTGTTGGCTCCGGGTTGTCGTTTTCTTCCCGGTCTCGCCCTACTCCCTATGAAATCCTGTGAATCGTGCTCAAAGTAAAGTTCGTCGCTGGATTTTTTTTTCGGTTTGCGTCCCTTCGGCAGGTTTTTCTTGACTCGATTTTTGCGGGTGGCTTTCTTCTTGGTGGCAGTCGTCAGGGAAGAATCCTCCGTAGTCGATTGAGTCGATGTTATTTCATCAGGCAATTTGTCTTTCTTTGTCTTCCGGAATGCACCCCTTGTCGCTCTCTCAAACTTCCGTTGCTTTCGCGATTGGACCTTGCGCGAGACCTCTTTCGACGAGACGTGGAGCCGCGATTCGAGATTCCGCTTGATAAGGGTTGCGGCTCTGGGTTCGTTTGTTTTTTCGACCATGTGGTTTAGGAGGTCCCGCTTTTGCTGGTACTTTTTCATGCTGGCCCAGGTCATTGCCCCGGGAACCAGCTCCGGTCTTCCGTAGGGCTTGCTCCCGTGTCTCCTCCGGGGTGGTTTGGCGTCCTCGCCGACGGACGGGTACAAGAAATCTTCCGACAAGAGCTCGAGGACTTGTGCATCAATTCCCTCCAGAGCAGAATCTACTGAACGGCTTGCGGAGGAAAACTCGGCGTCGCGTAAGACCGCGTCTCGTTTTTGCTGCGACACCGAGGATTCGGGTTTCATGGGCTGGATCGCTTCTACGACGACCCTGCGCGACGAGGCGGAAGGCGGCGACGCCGCCTTGCGTGGGGGCGATCGAGTCGAGTGGAGCTTCACGAGTCGGTTACTACGCCGTGACAAAAACATGTAGCAGCTGTTAGTTCCGGCATTCCAAGGTCTGGGGCTGTTGCCAATCTCGTCTTTAGGATGCAATACCGGGTGCGGAAGGTGAAAAGCCACAACGCAATCACAAACAGACCCCGGCATAAACGCCACCGTGGTGACCGCCAGAAGCAAGGCCGCCAGGCTGATCGTTCTCGATGACGAATGCAAATGTACTGAACTGCGATGTTCCCTCGAGGTTCTACAACGCTTCAGGCCAACCGCGAGGGTGGCTGTTTTCCCTGAAGTAGATCTCGTAGCATAGCGCGCCGTCAGACTGTGTCGACTGCAATTGACTGCCATATGAGAAAGAGTAGTCCCGTGAAGCTTCGTGTACGATGACATGGAAGATATCGGCAGATAGCAAAGGTTCTTTTGGATGTAGGATAGAAAAGAACCTTGTTTAATTGCTTCAGCGCCAGAACGAGATTTGGTTTCTTCGACTACGCCACACTCGAATTGAAGGGATGCTAGCTAGAAAAATTATCTGACCTCGCTCTAAAGCTTTCTTTATGCACAACAGTGACAAAGAGTTTGGCATGAAGATGATCGTAGCTAAATGTATTTTCCGTGTTCTTCTTCTAGAGGTTCGATAAGGGAATCACAGTGAGCGTTCCCGAACGGAAAGGTTGGAGGTCCCAGGTTTGCCCAAGAGGAAAAGCGAGACTGGTACTCGCATCTAATAGTTGGTAACAGTACCGGTAGGTAATTTTTCCTTCCTCAATAGGCAAGGTGAGGTGATTGCGAGTCAGGTTTCGAAAGAAATCCACTAGTACCAGCAGTCAGTGCCCGCAACTCGCACTCTTCGTGCGTTGCGTTTATCGCAAAGTAGTACGACCGGTACCTACGTACGATACTTCAACCCGGAAAAAAGCAGGTAAATTCTCCATCGAGAAAATGATGCAACGATCCACCATTGGATTAGTTCAACAAAGAAGTTCACTGCAATCCATGTCATCAGCAACAAACAGATCATTCGGGTTCTGGTACTGAATTTAACCTACCGGTACGGACTATGTACCATACAACACTCAACAATACGCCGCGCTTCGCTTGTTACAAGTTCGATTCGACTACGTACGAGTAGTACTGAAATTACTACTCGTAAAATAACAGTTGAACTTTCTTTACTGGGCCCTCCGTTACTACGCGTTTCGTAACAATTAAATACGGCCGCGCGAGCGCGCAAGTACTCTCCAGTTAAGACTTAAAGCGTGAAAACAAAGTTATCAACTTTGAATCCAAGTTGTCAACTTGCGGCCCAAGTTGGCAACTATTTCAGGTACGGTAGGTCTACGTATATTTAGTACTAGCCCCGTTAGGGCATGCCCGCAGGCTCGGCAGCTGCTGATCCAGCTGGATCAGCTGCTCAGCGATGAGCAAAATTGCAAAAATGGATCTACTACACAAAAGCTGTGTATAAAAAACAATGTAGAATATTGTGGTACTTGCAACGGATATGTAGGTATGGTATGGGAATACGGGTAGATACGTAGGATAAGGAAGTACGAGGTTGGAAGGCAAATGAGGTGGTGACAGGTCCGGAGTCAGTACAAATTGTACACGGCTCTACGGAGAGAACAATACACCTCATTTGCCTTCCCGACTTCAACCTGTCACACCTTGAAAAGGGACTATTTTATATCGATTTTTTTCCTTATTTCGGAGCTTTCCGAGCTCACTTTTTTCCTCTCAGAATTCAGATCTTCGAACCGAAATGGACTTCCGGACACTGCTTATTTGCATGGAATAAAATTGAAATCAGAATTGATTCCAAGAACAGATTTCTCTTAACATAAAATTACTAAATTGCTTACTACTGGAGCGCTCTCTAAGGCGCTAACTACTGGGAATTACACTTCAGCAACTTCACTAACAACCAATTCTTTCAGTCCCTCAAGCACATTCAAAGGAAGAGCGGTATCTCGTAGAGGAACGACCCCCACTCAAAGAATGATTGCCGTCCAGTGTCAAACCACTTTCGTCTAGGTTTAAAATCCGATTCAGATGACCCTAAAAAAAGACGAGCTTGCCTTGAACCTTACCGTCCTCTGCCATCTTTTCTCTCGCCCATCCTCCTGAAATCAACCTATTCTTCAGTGTGTTAAACCATAAGTTGATATTGTTATAGGTAGTCCACTTTGCTCTTCTATCTTCAAGTTTAGATGAACCAGTAACAATTTTGACATGAGGTGAAAACAAAGTTGACAAACGATCGTAAAGTCTTTCAAAATTTTTTAGTACAGTTGGTCCACCATTAAGACAAGAAGCTAACATGGCAGTCACTGTCTTTTGATTAGGTTGTTCTGTCATCTCAGCACAACCAAGGTTTATGTATGACGAAATCGCATCAACCAGTGCCACCTCCACAACTGCAGGCAAAGTAGAGGGACGTCCCGAATGCCAACATGGGGGAATATTTTCTAGGCCCAAACACAGACGTCGCCGAACAGTCTCTGCACTCAGTTCAACCTTGTAAAGCTTGTTGACTTGAGCAACCATAGCTACTACGTTTGTCACGTTGCCCAGGGCACGTTCCTGTTTGATTTTTTGGCAACTGAAAGGTAGGCAACGTCTTTCACCTTGTTTTTGTTGTACTTCTCAACCTTCTTTGTATGCAAATACTGCGCACTCCGTGCAGGCTTCCGCTTCTTCTTTGCGGAACCTTTATCACCATCTTTGCCATTACTGCTGGAGCTCCTGGAGGTATCAGCAGGAGGAGCAGCAGTGGTACTGACAGTGAGCCCTGATAGGTCTGGTGGTGAAATATATTCAATAGTTGATAAGGGGACTCCAGCAACTGCTTTTTCAAGCTCCAGCTTATCCCTGAACCTCATAACTCTTCTGCAAAGAGCTTTGCTTTTACATTCTGATTCACTGAACTTGGCAAATAGCATTGCACTCTTGGTGGTGCAATCYTCACCTTCTTCCTTAGCCATAACCAAGGCCCTTGCCGCGATTCGTGTACGCCTACATGCTGCAACAATGTGTCCATTTGGTACAGCGCCAACAGGAATAGTTGCTGTTGTTGTTGCTGCTGTTGTTTTGCCATCTTCCTGGTGTTGGTTTTTCTTTCTTCTGGCGGCGGTGGTGCTGCTGCTTGCACTACCCCCAACACCACCAATCAACCCCATCCTCTCCAATGTCCTTGCCGTCGATTCGCGTGGTGGTGGTGGTAATTCCTGCAGCGTTCCTTTCCCTGCAGGCCTTGGCTTGGTGTTGTTGCTGTTATTGCTCATTTTAGAGGCAAAATACAGCCAAAATACAGCAAAAACTGCTTTTTCTTTCAAAATACTTGGTCGATTGCAACGATACTTCCGGATCAAGTCTCCTTTGATGTATTAAGGAGGTTCTGGACACTGGTTGTCTCTGTTATGGAGGGGAAGACAGTTTCTTTTTTGTTACACTGTGGAGTTCGTCGTTGCTGTTTTTCGATGATATTTCCACTGTAGCTTTGGTATCCTGTTTCTCCTAAACCACTCGGTCGATCGATCTGCTACTTCACGGACCCCTTCCCCTTGTTATAATGAAGTTATTCTGGTGTGTGTGTGGACAGGAGAGTGTTGTTTAGTGCTCAGTCTAATGGGGGTGACAGGTCCCTATGATGAGGTTGATTTAATGAGTTTTTCGGAAATTTCGGTGCGGAGAGAAATCAACAAGCCCAAAAAGGTTTTCGAAAGCTAACACCATGCAATGTGCACATCGTTGGAAAGAGGAAAAAAACCCTTTCCGACTGACAGATTCTCTAAATCTGATTGGTGCTTTGGTAGCACTAACAAGCAAGCAAAGTTAAGAGCTCACAGCTAAAAACTGGCGCGTTTATTACACTCATAACCTATTACACTTTTCGTCCACACATTTGCCTTCCAACCTCGTACGTCACACAAACAGTTACTACGGTATTTTTTTCCCCGTGTTCATAAATTTAAATTCACATGTGTATTTTGTCATGCTCATGCGCAATTATCTGGCCGTTTCCCTTGAAACATGTTCTTGCACGAGATTACGTGTACTCTTACTAGTAGTATGTTTTAAGTGTGTATGAAAATTGAATTATAAGATTAAGATTCTCGCGCTCTGACGCGAGCCTTCAGTAGATCTGATTAGATCCTATGTAGCTCTTGGTACTGAATCTACAGAGGGTTCTTATTATTCTGATCTACTGACGTCTTTGTTCTGTGCGAGGTAATCTATTTCTGATATCACAGACCTCTTACGATCCTCGGACCTCTTACGATGGATCCTATCATACATATATAGGAAGCGTACCTTACGATAGGTACGTAGGAATGGTATGTCCCTTCATTCCTCTCATCGAAGCATTGTACGTATGTATCTTCCGATACATTTCGTATGTATCCGTTGCATTGTCCCGGACAGTAATATTGCTCCAATATATATTGCAATATTACTCACTACTAAATTGTAGCAATCATATCTCCAATATTTTCAACAGTGGGTTCCTCCTCTGTTGGGTCTTCAGGTGTGATGTTTGTATTGGTATTTCCTTTATGCCGAACAAGCTACCAAATATTTACAGTCTCACGTACGTTGTCACTTCTTTGCAACACGACAGTCCCATTAGTGTTGCTCTCCACGATGGGATAAGGACCATGTAATCTTTGGGACTGCTTATCTGGTTCATAGTGTTTCATGTAAGCTTGTTGTCCGACCTGATACTTGAAGGGTATTCTCCGAGCATTTTCTCTCCTAAGGTTATCATCGATTTGGTGTTGTCTTTTACTATCTCTGATAAGTTTCAAATCAGCAATGAGTGGGATATCCATTACCATATCCCTGTTGTAGACTAAAGCGCCTGGTGAAGTCTTCACAGCAGCATTCACAGCACACCTGGTAGCATGCATAGCTGAGGCAAGCGCATTGTCAATCAGTTGATCTTCATCAAAGTCAGCCTCCTCGAGGGGCTTGCTATGAAGCGTGGCCCGTAGAACATTAGCAATTGTCTGGTGAACTCTTTCACAAACTGCATTTGCCTGTGGATTCTTGACAGTAGTTTGGACGCTCTTAATTCCATATTGGTTCAGCAACTGTTTGAATGGGGTCCTGATGAATTCTGAACCATTATCATGGACACACCTGTTGGGTCATGGGTATCTTGACAACCAACAGTTGGAAAACTGCTCTGCCACATGCTCACTTGATTTGTTGTTGATTCTGATGATTTCCAATAGGTTAGTGACTGGATCGATGCAAGTGAGAGCATTGATCACTAATTCAGTTTCATCCTGGAGGAGTATTTTCCAAGGACCAATCAAATCAACACATACTTCATTCCATGGGACAAGCTGTGCCTCGCGGGCTGGTAATAAGCCATGCCCCTGTCCTTGTTGTTTGAATCGATGGCACTCATCCGGGCACTGATATTGCTTGCATCTGAGGCTGAGTCGTGGAGCATAAAACCTGGCGCTGATGGTTTCATATAACCGG